ACAGTTTTGGGTCAAAACCTGCAGAACAATGCTACAAATATACAGATAAAATAAAAGATTATTATGAAAACCAGTTTGTTGAATGACATAATATGACATTCACCAAGATTCAATACCATAATTAGCCTTCAGCCAGTTAAGATACGATATATATCATATATTTGTATTTATCTTGTTTACCACACCAGAGGACTTACTGGTAAGGTAATTAAGCACTTGAAGGAGAGTAACAAATTAATCATATGTAACAGAGGTAATTATATATTTCAATGACTACACTACCATTCACTACCATTGGATCTCTGGTTTACTAGTCTTTCGCTCAACTGATCAAGCTTAATAGAAGATCTCTCTAGCTGAGTGGTATATAGTGGCTAATATTTACCAGGGTTACCTTCTCTGGGATCCCCCTTCAATAAAGAACTTGTCCTCACGTTTCCAAGGGTTACATTTTCACTTGTGGGGCATCATTGGGGCATTGCTAAGTATTTTTGTTGAGTCTCTACATATGAGCACCAAAGTAACAGTAGGTACTAGTTATTACAATGTTTCATGTAGGATTCATACCCAGAACCACTGGTTTATAAGTCTTACACTCAACTGTTCGAGTCCAAAAGAAAATTTTTCTTACTAATATACTATGATTTGTATTTACCAGAGTTACATATATGTCATCAATTACATAATGTAGTGAAACAAATATATACAGAGGAAATCTAATTCTGCAAACCTTTCAGTAATGTTCACTATTTTTGACGTCCTTATTGATAAAGAAACACAAACGATGAAGGGAGACAACTCGTAACAAAGGATTCCAAGCAGAAATCTCCAATTGTATAAAAATATATGTGCAATGAAATTCATTGGAAAAAAAGGCACTCATACCCTTTCTGGGTCTTAAAATTAGTCATCTTCAACACAATTTCTGTAAAGAAGAGGAACACAAAGATTCAAAAGTTACTATAGGTAGCACAGCATCAACTTAGTTTTGTGAAGAGTGTGATATTGTATGGATGACTATATGGCCCATATGTCCTGGACATGATCTTATTGACAAACCCTTCATGACATGAGTATTGGATGGCAAGTATTCATTTATATGCAAAAACATGACTGTTGAAAGAGCTGACCAAAAACAATCAGAACACATCATATTGTCTACAAGTTTGATAAACTTGAAAACGGTCTGTTGATAATGGATTGTATAATTAATGGCTGCAAAGACCGAATTGCATATCTGAGTTGCATAGGGATTAATATTTCCTTATACGGATGGTAGAGTAAATAAGTCCCGCGCAAGTAAATTGAAAATCCACACTCATTATTATATAATGACCCAGCGCCCCAATTACCAGCTGGTTATGCATTACAATTTCTAGATATTACATCATTAATATTATATATTCATTACACTGATCATCTCCCTAATCCCGACACCAACAGGTCCATCTTAAAATACCAAATAACCTTCTTCATTTAGTAGAAGTACACAACATTCCTGTTTGCCTAAGAGCTTATATATATATATATGGAGGCAAATCTTCAGACAGACCAACATTCTATGGAAATTCTGGACACATGATTGGATCAACATTTACCTTGTGTGTATGAAATACCTTTCAGTAATCTTTAGACAATGGGTGGCCTTCAATATCAAAGCATGCTCAACTATTTCAAAATAACCTTATTGTCAAATTAAAAAAAAATCTTCATAAATTTTTAGTTGTACAGTTTTGGAAACTATCCAATTTTTTCATAATAAAGTCAAAATGTGATATGAAAAATATGCTAACGTAAAGTACATTGTACAAAATATTTATCCCCAAAACTAACAATGCTTTTTAACAATAATATCCCGGTCCCTACCACTTTTAGATCATAAGCCGACGCGTACGTTAAAATCTCCACATTCATTGCCACTTTGGTCTTGCCAAAGATTTACTTTCAAATTAATTACACTGTATTATGTGTATACAATTCTTTTCAAAGTATTATGGGCTAGAATATTTATATTATGTATTTAAGAAAGTCTGTTGTTTCCATTGTGTGTACATTGAGAGTCCTATCCAGAATACTGTAACTCTATTGAGATGTTTACTATGCTTTACAAACTTGAAAACTCATTGTTAAAAAAATACAATGTCATTTAAATTTACTATGGCACTGGAATTGAACAGAAATATTTTGTACACAATATTAATATGAGAATACCTCTAGACAAATGTGTTCATCAATATGAGTCTGGGTTTCAAAGCCATTGATAACTCAACATTCTACACCTTTTACATGTATGTACGGTTGTGTCAGTCGATATATATTGAGTTTTTTTAAATATAGTTCTGGAAGGTTATGTTTTCAAGAATTTCAATATATGCGAGAATCAATTTTGAATGTTTGTAAGGTTATGCTGTACACAAGCCCCGTAATTGTTGTAATAAGTATAGGTATTGAGGTATGGAATTGAACTTCACCTGTAAGATATTAAAAAGTCTGCTTTTATTTTAATTTTCTCCTTGCTTTTTAGCATGGACCTATCCAGTAAAATACAGTAAAATACGATGAGGTATTGTAAAAGCAAAAATGAAAACTCTTATACAGAAATCGATAAAAAAAATATATATATGTATATATATATATATATACTATATTTATTTTTTGTTAATGATAAATATAACCATTACTTGTAGCTTGGATCTTTTGATTTTATTCTTAATACCCTCTGCACTGAGCTTGTCTACTACGGTAAAACTATGTTTCAATACTTTACACACAACAGGTGCCCCTTGCACAAGAAAGATGTGTGTAATCTCTTCAACTAACTGCACTTGCTATACAGTTTGTATACTCCACAAGAAAACTTGTTGCAGGGTATTTCTTTCAAAACTTCAAAAACATTTGAACACCAAACAGTCAGAAATAAAATGGTTGAAAATGGATTTGATGCAGCAACAGAAAAATATGATGTTTTATGTATGAACAATAACTAATCAAGCCACGTAAAAATGACATTTGAAATTTAACTGAGGAAAATTTGAATGAAAAAACTTATTAGATGAATCAAGGTACCAGCACAAACAGGAAACTAAAAAATAATACAAAACTTGTTTCTGTGATTAAATACCAAATTATAATTATCAGTTTTCCACTTACAGGTAGAATATCAAAATTTAGTTCTGTTGCGTCAATCTAGAACCTGACTAACACATAATCAGTATTGTAAGCACATGAACAGATGGTTTTTAATGCCTCATATCCATATCTCAGCTGACATTGTCGATTACAAATGTACTCCAAGGTTTCTGGTTTTCCACCACTATAGTTGATGAAATCATCTTTAGATACTAGATAAATGAATAATGAGGTATGAATTAAATCCGATCGAACTCTAGATTTGAATTACAAAGGCATCACAAAGATTCCCGATCTGAATTACAAAGGCAAAATAAGACATGATTTAAAAACCTTTTTGACTTGGTTTCAAAAACAGTATATCATGTGCATACAAGTGTGAAGGGTATCACACAACTAGTAGGTATGATAAAAGTATACTCACCCCTTTGATGGAGAGATAAAGCTGTTGATCTTTAGGTGCGAAGATCTCGTTCATATATCGTTGTCATCACTGTATTGTTGTTCTTCTCCGTACTTCCATGTTCTATCTTAACCTTTGCAGCAAACGGCAGTTTTAACTTTGTATTTAAAATATATTGTTCTTATGATTCACTAACAGACTGACTGATTCTTTGAAGGTTAAAAAAAATGTGGGAAAAAAGTCTTAAAACATATTATGTCTGTAACTCAGACATACGATTATCAGTAATACATTAAGATACCAAAATTAAGAAAAAAAAACTGCATAGATTTAATATAGTGCATCAATTTCCACTATCCTTAATAAGTGCAACAAAGATGCTATTATATATATATCTATATATACGGTATGTTACAACTGTTTTTGGTGTTCCCCCCAATATTCATAAAGTATGGAATCAAATGACCGTTCTTTGCATTATCTATATACAAATGCTTGATATATATATGAATGTAATATATATTACATTTTCATAAGCTCTTCGATTGGGAAGCACAATTCTTCAGCACTCAGTTTTCTCCATCTATCCAAACATGAATCCAAAGACTGTTGACTATGTGTATTTCAACATGTCAAAACACTCCATTCAATTTCTTGTTTTTTAAATATCCCGTTTTGGAAAGATGTCTTAATCTATTAACACACATCCTTCAATTTGAATCTAATTCTTGTGAATTCCATTCTTTATCATTAATCCATGAAACTTTAATCCAAAATGACACAGCATCTTTCAAAATGTGAACAATGAAATTGCGACATTTTACTAGGAGTTAATACGGTATCCGATATTTATATCACACGGGAAAGATGGTTGGCAAGTGTTCAAAGATAAGAACAGTTGTTCTGATCGCAGGCTGGGATCTCAACATGGAAATGATGATGAGTAATGAGAGCTAATTAATATCACGTTGGAGAATAATAAAAAAATCACTGTATCTTGGTTGCAGGCTTGCAAAGCACATACATACATTGTTCCACCAATGATTTGGATAGGTCTCCTCAGGAGACCGTTTGCAATCGCTTATGGTGTTGCAAGTTTTTTCCACATAAGTAATTATACATATGTAGTAACCTCCAGGTTAGGAGAAGGGGTTTGTTTCCCTCGGTAGTGCAAGTGTCATGTACATTAATCTCCACTCTGGAACGGAGGGAGGAAGGGTATAGGAATGGTAACAGTTTGGTTATTTGTTCATGGTGTATCGACGCAAGTCAAATGAAGACCAGTCCAACATCTTAACGTATACAAAACACATCTTCCACAGTAAAGAGTCTCCATGACAGTACTCTCACATCAGTTAATCCATATGAGAAACTGTCATACCTCCATAAAACACATTATCATAAAGGGTACCGATTGAAACGAGTACACTTTGGTCAAATGGTAACATCACAAATAGATATCACGTGATTTAGATTCAGGTTGTTGTAGAATTCACTGTCTGTCTTAGATGATGGTTTCCAAGATTTTTTGCTTTGTTTTTTCAAAAGTCTTGAAGTTTAAAATTATTACCTAAGTGGACAACCTGCGGAATAACACGTTCGAAGAATACTTCTTCATGGGTTTTCTTTGTCTTAATTATATTTCTAATCGCTCAAATTTACATGTCTTAAGTCAATTCATTCTGTAGATTTTTATTTTGAAAGCTGAACTTTTTTGTTTTACTACTATTCAGTGATATTTGGAGGGAGACCATATACATACTAAAAACATATTCTGTTCACCATACATTCATAACGACGGTTCCATCTCATCACAACGTCCGAAATATATAGGCTTTAGTCAAACATCTGTTTCAATACTTAGGTTGTTTATGCTGGAAGGATTGTTCACTTTGCTTGTATGGTTTTCTTTTGTTCGGTCGTTGCTAAGGTTGAAGCTACTACCTTCCTCCATTTCCATCATATTGTCCGAGCCACTATAATTAGAAGCCAGTGAATTCTTCTTGCTGTTTGAAAAGTTTGGACAGGATTGAACATGATGGTACGAGGACTTATCATCTCCTTCTGTTTCTCTGTGATAAAAGTAATTAAAGTTGGACACAATAACAGGCACTGGCAATGCAATGGTCAACACACCGGCAATGGCACACAACGAACCCACAAGCTTACCCCACACTCCTATAGGCCGCATGTCACCATATCCAACTGTTGTCATAGTGACAACAGCCCACCAGAATGCGTCTGGTATACTTCGAAAATGAGTATGTTCTGCATCAGCTTCAGCAAAGTATACTGCACTTGAGAACAAAATAACACCAATAAAAAGGAAGAAAATGAGCAGTCCAAGTTCTCTCATACTGGCCTTTAATGTCTGTCCCAAGATTTGAAGACCTTTAGAATGCCTTGATAATTTAAATATTCTGAAAACCCTAACTAACCTTATGACCCTCAAAATGGCTAACGACATTGCCTGGTTATTGCTTTTGCTCTCATCTGCGATCACCGTACCAAGCGTAATAAAGTATGGAATGATTGCCACGATATCAATGAAATTCATAATATTTTTGAAGAAACACAGCTTGTTGGGACAGGAAGCATAACGTACAAGCAATTCAAATGTGAACCATATAATACAGCATGTTTCTATGATGAAGAATGGCTCATTGAACTTGGGAATATCATCTTCCTCTATCTTTTCTGAGGTATTTGATCCTGCTGTTTGGTTAACTAACCTGTAATGTTTGAATTCTGGTAATGTTTCTAAGCAAAAGATCACAATCGATAAAAGGATCACTAGCACTGAAAAGATTGCTATCAATCGGGCTGCGGTTGAGCTTTCTGGGTACTCAAATAGAAGCCATACCCGTCTTTGGAATTCATTCTGAGGTAAAGGTCTCTCTTCCTCTTTAATAAATCCTTCATCTTCCCTGAATTTTTCAATTGCATTATCACCAAGTTCATAAAATTTCATTTCCTCCGAAAAGACATCCAAAGGAACATTGACAGGCCTCCTGAGCCTGCCCCCACTTTGGTAGTAGTAAAGAATTGCATCGAAACAAGGTCGATTCCTGTCGAAAAAGTACTCATTTCGAAGTGGATCGTAGTAACGGTTACGTTTTTGAGGGTTACCTAATAGTGTCTCTGGAAACTGGTTGAGTGTTTTCAGTTGAGTTTCAAACCGCAGACCACTGACGTTTATCACCACTCGTTCACAGCACTCATAATCACTGCCGTGTCCCTGTGGACCCATACCGTCGTCATCATCAGAAGGCTTTGGAAAGGACCTGGAATTTTGAACACAATCGTGATTGTTTTTCGACAGAAGTGGTCGTTGTGAACTGTGTATGACATTGTAATTAGGTGGACCCCCATTGCCATGAGGATCAAAACCTACCATAGCAGCCTCCATGATGATTTTTGATTGGTTTTCTAAATCTGTCACACAAAATGCTTTAACTTTCACAGTTCAGTGTTTTAAAGTTTGTATATAGTTACAGTTTAAATTACATGCTTGGTTTTAACTGTTCATTCATTGTTAACGATGCTTATGTGAATGACACGACCAGTTAATGTACTGAAAATGCCAAACCCCACAACATTGAATGAACATATTCATATACCACTGTCTGCAATAATATTTACCAAAAAGATCTATAAAGATGGGCGATCAATTAATCTTGATCACAAATATTATTGAAATTCGATTCGCCGGTGAAAAGGAAAACAAACCAAGCATGTCACAATTGTGGAGCAGTCTTACGGTAAATCATCACTCCGTGTTCCGTTATAAATTCCGATCCAGAAGAATTAAAAAAAAAACATTAAAGATGAAAATCATCAAACTTTGCAACGATCAGTAATGCCTGTCGTCATACAATACATAGCTATGGTAGATACTAGTCCTGCAGGCAGTAAGGATAGCACAATAGTGTTATTTCTGTACACAAGTCAGTCTAAATGTCAGCTTCGTCTGCAAACACGATAAAACTGTATCTTGGTAATCGAGGGATTTCCCATCAAATCCGAATCAGTAGTGGTGACTGTTATTCCTTTTGTACATGCATGGAGGTAGTAGGTTTGGATACGCATGCTAATACTCAATCACAATTAACAACAAACCGTAATTCATGCAAAGTTTTCGCCCACTACCTCCGTTCTGTTTACCCTAGGTTGACACGAATCTTGATAATTCATGCACATGTGTGCTAGTACTGTCAAATCGATCGACCAATGAAATTTGGCGTAACAAAGAAGCTTGGAGATCTACCGACAGACGAAAATAACTTCTAACAGGTGCCTTCAGTTCCAGCTAAATTATGTTCAGTACATGAATATTTATATGGCTATCCTACTTTTTGTTTCTGATTACAAAACACACGATTCACCGAGTGAAATATACAAATAACATTGGATTAAAATATATTTATCAGATCAGTGTTTGAGAAATTATTTACTGCGGACGGAGGCTTACCACATTCCCAGAGGTACGTCATCAAAAGCTTAGACAATTTAAACGTAGCACAGACGTTGTGTGGTGCTGTTTTCAGGGAGAAGGTAAAAAACATGTGCAGCACAAAAGCCCGGTGAGATGCGTGGAAAATAATTGATTGTGAGGGTCGATAAAGGAAACACGATTTGAAAAAAAACATTAACAACTAAAAAGAAGCAAAGCATCTCAGAAAAATGACTGCATTTTTGCCACCAAATCTACTCGCACTTTTCGCCGCTAGAGACCCAATAACATATCTACCACCGGCTGACAAACAAAGCCACGAGAAGAGAAGAGTGCCTTATGGCGGAGTGGCAGTATTTCTTAACGAGTTTGAGGTAAATTTACATTGATATATATATTATATTTTGTCATGGCATGAAATCGTCTTAACGTTTAGAAATAATTTCACATAATGTTTGTCAAACATGTACAATGCTACACTTACAGTGTTTCCAAAATGGCGGACACCAGGGTTGCCATGATAATTTCAGCATGTGATCTGTGTGCCAAGTCGAGTAGCAAAATACCGAGAATAGTAATCCTCGATAGAATACACAAAATTGCAATCAGCTCACGTCATTTTAGTGCACAGCTTTGTTAAAACCAGCAGCAACAGCGGTGACACACAATCAGTGTAGTGATGTATACCATCCCTGTTCTGTCCTCTTACATTTCCAACAGAGATTGAACGAGATACATCTTTCCGCATCGACTCGCTAGTACACCAATGCACACCAGAAAATCAGTAATGGTACACTCCGCTCACATCGTTAATGTTTACATTCTCTTTGGTATCTGTGAATGATAATCTAAGAATGGGAGTCGCCTCTTGTCACTAATTGCAAGCCTCTGCTATCGGGGCCGAGCTGATGCCTGTATGTATAAATAATTCACACATTCCTCCTGCTAGCTTAGCATAATTTAATTGAACCTTTCCACCTTTGGAGAAATTCTGATTGATCTCTCCTCCACATAACAATAATCCCAGGTGTTTTTTAGCTGGTACTACTCTACAAGCTCTAGTGATAAAGTGGAACGCTCCTACAGATTTCAGAATAGTGGTTCGTGTGTGTTATTTGTAGTGGCAAATTTGTTTTAACTGGAACAGTTACATGTACACACAAGTAACAGAGAAAGAGCCCAAAATCAATGGTACAACCTGCAATGCGCAATTACCACCTCCAAATGGAGGTACTCGGCGTGACACACTAACGGCTCTAAAATTGATTATCTGGTGCATGTATATAATGTTTGCTCTTTGGTTTGAACAATGTGTACAGTTATTGAAGACATTTGGTTCTGTTGCAATTATCGTTGGACCGGAACACGTTCTAAAAATGACCCAGAGCTGGAGGCCAAGAGGGATAGCGTTTTTCGGTCTTTGGTAAAAGATGTGGTGTAGAAACCAAAGCTAGTTATTGATCTGTTCTGCCAGAAAAGAAAACAGCTTACAGTGCATAGATTAACCCACTAATTACTTGTATTAGGTGTAAAGACAGAGATTGGAAGCAACATGAAAGCAAATAAAATGAGTAGGGTTTGGCACTTACCGTGGATATGGTTGTTGGTCGAGCAGTGGCGTGGTTGTGTCGTCTTTTGAGTCCAGACAGTCATCATTATTTAGGTGACAATTTTTGTTGGCAATGTCCTGTGTAATGCCGACGACTATTATTGCATCACATTTTCCATTGTTTCCTCCACCTGTACTAATGGTGTCATTATATGAAGGCGGGTTGGAGTCGGGCGAGGAGACTGGCGGAGATGTTGACACGTCTTGTCTTTGAGATTGTTGTTGTTGTTGGTCTTTACACGTTTGTTTTTCAGTTGATTTTTGTTGCATTTTGAAAATATTTGGAAGACATGTTGATTTACTACTATCCTCACCTCCTCCACCTCCACCTCGTGAAGAATCAGAAACTGAACTCGACCTTCCACTGTTGGGTGCAGATTTACTTCTCCGTATCCGTCTTGCTGCCTGAACTCTCTCTAATCGTTGTGATTCAACAGCGTCGAGGTCTTTAGGCTGAGGAAGAAATACACAAGAATTGACAGCTTTTATAAATGAGTGAGATTGGTAAAGTCCAGTTAATAAAGTATGCGACTTTTACCTGCTTTGTTAAGCTACTGGTGCCAAAAGACTCGGAAAGTCTTATTAGAATAGTACTGAAGTATACTTCAACTTGAATGTTGAGTGAGAGTGTGTGTGTGTGTGCATTATAATGGTGTGTACCGGTCTAGAGAGAAGGCGATATATTGATTAGCCCCAAGTAAAGAAGGAAAGTCAAGTGAATTTTATAGATCTATCCGGTGGCATGCATTTGTTGATGTCTTCGACAAATTTAATTTATGTTGCATACATTAGGAACATCTTTTTTTTAAAACAGAGCTGTAAATGTGAGGTCTAGAGGACCTAGAATCATTGGTCCTATGTAGAAAGGATGCTTATGTAAATAAGGACAAGGGTATAGGTATATTTAGTGTGTTAGGATGTAATAATGATATGTCTGTCTTCTGGTAATGGGCTATTGATTGTTAATCAGCATGGATATAGCTGAAGCAGTTTTTCTAATGATAGTGTAATGGTTAGTAGTGACCCCCTCATAACATCCATATAGGAATACATATTTTAAGGAAAAATGCTTTGTGATGAAAAGCAGAACAGGAAAAATTGAAATACAAATTCTTAATATTTCAATCAATATTGTCTAGCAGCTCCTGTGCTTTGCTCATGATTGTTTAGTCAATAGATGCAGACAAACATATTTAGCCAATGCAATTGACAACATAAGATATTTTATGCATGTATGAGAAAGAACAAATGCTATCATATTTCTTCATCGACCTCACAACACACTACAGGAATACAGGTATATAGACATTTTCTAGTTAGAAGTCAAACAGGTGTTCACATTGTTCTTTACATTACCTGTCACATTCTTTGGACAAGAAACATTAAAAATATCTAAATAAACAATGTTTGTTGAAATGAATAACAATTGCAGTTATGTAACATTCATTGCTGCAGAAATTAAAGGAAAAATTAAAATTTGACAATTCAAAATATACCACCTGTAACCTTATAATTGTCGATTTATGTCTCTAGACATCAAATACAGAGGTTTAAAGAAACATCTTAGATTACTTGAAAACAGTGATATTTTTTTTCATTACTGTTGTTTTTGTGTGAATTGATCTGAAAAGTGTTAGGGATGAATATTTGATATGATCATATATTTATGAATTTGGAAACAAAATTTGAAGTTTTGAGGTCAACATTTATAGTATTCATTACTGTAAGTCAGCTATTTGAATGAAAATTGTTTCAGGTAAACTTGATACAAATCATTTCAATGTTTTTTCTATGGAATCTATAAAATGATAACCATTTGCACCATACATAATAGAACACAACAACATTGTACTTTGATAGGGATAGTATGTCTATGCAGGTGTTTTTTCACTCATCTGGAAAATGGCTTTTTTATCTCACTTTGGGAAGAAACTTGATCAATAGGGAGAAAAATTCAAGGAGTAAACAATATCTGTGAAATAATTTCCAATTTGGAATGGGTCCCATATTCATCCACACTAAAGAAAAGCCCTCCAATAAAGGTCACTCGAGGAAGCAGAGAGAGGTAGTCCTTATACTCAGGTGGCCTTTATATAGAGGGTCAATCACTTTGAATTGCATTACATTGGAAACCAAAAAGTGGCCTTACAGGCTGGTGGCCTTTGTAGAATCGTGATGTTAAGGCAAGTTTGGGTGTATACAATTTTTTTTCCTTTTTGAAGTCTAAACACTGATTTTGATCAATAGCTTGTAGCTGATTTCTTTACATAAATTCACAACACAACCATACATTTCCATCCCAATTGATCAATTTTCTTCCCGAAATGAGACAAAAAGTACCTGTCCTAAACTAGTGAAAAAACCCATTACAGCTGGCTCGATCAACCTTTTGCTCATCAGGTAATGGTGTAAGGACAGTGGTGATAGTTTGTCATTATCTATGCAATTTTTTTTTTAGTCAAATCTCTCAAGAATTCTGGTAAAATAATGATGGATTGTATATCATCACTGTCAAAACCTTTAAACACAAAGTTATCATCGCATTGATTGATGATGCTGAGTACTGAAGCCATGATGGCTTTATCAGTGATACCAGTGACAATTTAAAATTCTCGGTTAATTTATTCAAAACTATTTATAGTAAACATATGCTGATTTTTCATTGGTTTGAAAGTTGGATATTTTATATTTAGATTATAAAGTGTGAGAATAGGGGGCGCTGTTCAATCATACAATATGCAGCAGCGATAAGCAACAGTCAGTGTGACGTCCAGAGGCTTGCAGAGATCATGTAGGGACATTCAGAGTAGTTTACATGGGAATGGTGCAGAGGTATCCAAACGTGCTTGCATGTGCCTAAAGAATACATAATTAAATATGTATCTAAATTTCAGCATGTAATTAATATACCAAAAAACACAGAAACAAAAACAAATTTTTGGGGTGATTGCAGATCTATTACTGGTAAAACCAGTATGTTGCTATCTATCTGTCACACACAAAAACACATACAAATATAATACTAAACTAATGTTTAGTTGAAGTAGGAGCTGCACACATTATATAATGCAACAACCTTTTAGGATGGTCTATAATGTGGACCCTGCCAGTAACTAAGTAATATGTAAGGGAAACATATGTAGGTTTACACGCCCTCCATCTGTCTTTTTGTCCTGCCTTTATCAGGCGGTGCAACTGAAATGGGCTTTCATTCATCTTTCTATCAGTCCATCTATCCAATGAGTCACTGTACAGTACACCCTTTCTTGTTCACCACTAGGACTGGTGTTGATGTAAGGTGAGAATTCATTCATATGATGAGCATTGGTCCAGGTTGACCAATCAAATTAAAATGTTGCCATATTGTTATTGGTGAAAGTGATATCACATCTTTGTACATGTTGTTTTTTACTCTTTGAAGTTTCTGAACCTAACAAGATTAAAATTACCCAATTAAAGAAAGATATCCAAGTAAAGTTGAATATGAATGAGAGACCATTTGATCAGACATTACCTCCATGGAAAGTCAAAGAGGGTCTAATAGGTTCCAAGCCCCTCAAAACTGAGATAGACCTCTCAGCTCCCATGATTTTCCCTGCACCTTTAGGAATGGTGACATGTTATGTTCCTGACCTCATTTTATAACTTATAATCCATAGTCCATTATTGATACTGAATAAAAGTTGTTGACTCAAGACATTTTGGACTAAGGATATCATGTCATGTTTCGCCTTATGAGTTACGAGATGTTAATTCCAGAATACCATTGGTCAGTTGATAACTACCTACAGAAGGCTTTTATAGGGCCAAAACTATTTAGGTCAACAAAGTCATCATTATAATTGTATCATACTGAGGTTACTACTAATGAAGGCCTTGATATTATAGTTCCTTTATGCCACCCTTTAATTGAAGAAGCCTGTTTCGCTGATGGCTTGATGCTTACATTATCTTCTATTTCATACCATCTTGTCCCATTTGTTTTATCGCAGCACTGTACCTGTTGTTTATCTTACAACTTGCAGATTTGTAGTAACATGTTCTACTTTCTTGTGATACCTGGTCTCCAGTCTCCCTCTCCACTATAACACACAAACCCAATCCACTAGTGTATCCTCATTTTTTGTGATATTACTTCCCTTCCTCCCAGTGTTTATAGTATTTCTGCCTTAGAACTCTCTGGTACTGCTAGGTATTTACTGGTGATGTTGGTTTCACTTGGTATTTACCTGTGATGTTGGTTCCCCTAGGTATTTACCTGTGACATTGACTCCCCAAGGTATAATCAACTTCAGTGTTGCCCCCTGCTCAAATATAAGATGCCTCCCTGTTAGGTCTTGATGTATTAATGTTATTTGTACTTTTTAAGTTCACCGGTAATAATATCAGTACTTACCTTATTGGACCTCTGTTAGTTACCTATGTCACCCCTCCCTCTGCTGTCCCCACCCTTTACCCATTCACATTGTGGAGACAAGTCTCATTCCCTGTTTATAGGATGTGTTTAGTGTTAAGGTACTTTATAAAGCTTTATCAGTTCTTATTCCATGTATACTACTTGATCTGAGTTGTTGAGAACAGAAACATCCATGATGTATAATTTGGAATTTTTTCTGGTGAAACATTTAAATGATATATTGTCAATGATTAAACAATGTTTGTTAACTCTGACTAGTAACAGAGGTGTCTTATTTTGAAGTATACTTGGGTGTCCAAACTGACCGTTTTTTGGGTACTGGAGACTTTTACAGACCTAATACCTTATTAATGTTAATCCAGTTATAGATGTACTAGAGACATTGTTTCATTTAAGGTTTATATTTTCTGTATTTATACAGGACCCCAAAGACACACCACCACCAACACGAGTGGAGACTAAGGATGAACGGAAAGAAAGGAAGGTAACAACACTTTTATCATCTTTTGTAAATTTTTTGTAAAATTGTGTCAGGATTAATAAAGTTATGATTTGATATCATGTTGTTATTTCCAACCTCAATAGGTTTTCAGCTATTCATGTATGTAATTGCTGCAGATCTGCCTTCTTTTAGATGTATGTATAAGCATGAAATAATGATAAGATAAAATTGCTTTGAATTCAATACATAGCAGTGATACTAAAGATTGCAAAGTTCTTAGTACTTTCATCAGTTTGTCTCCTTAATATTAACAATTAGTAATAGGATGGCACTCTCGCATATATTTTAACAGTAAAGCTAAAAGAGAAGAATAATTAAAAGTAGAAAGAGGAGGGGATGGGGTGCATCGGAATCGAAAGACGTGTTTTGTGAAAAGAGCATAAAAAGAATTACATGACTGGAGGGTGAAATTTGTTGGAATAATGTGATTAGTGATCACAAATATTCAAGATTATATATATCTATTACCGGTGTTACAAACTCACTTGATATCCCTGGGTCAACCCAATATTTATACCACCAGTGGGTGATTCACCCATTTGACCTATCAGGTTATCAAATACATTGCATTTTTCCTTCAAGTTACATTGCTTTTGAAAATAACATATATTAGTAATTACAGTTATGAACTCATATTCACACGCCGGCCATGATACGATGCCAAACATCAACACCTGTGAAAATTATACATGTTAGAACATACACACACTGCAGCTTCACTAAAAATATCTTAATATCCCTATAATCTATTTATAGAAAGCATATTTTGTAGTATGAATTATTGGGAATATCCGAGAGTATTACTAGGCTATAATGTAATAGGAGACACCTACCTGTTCATTAACTAGACAAGGTTGTCATGACCTACCTGTCTCTGCTAGTCAATGCTGTACATCATTATCAGGCTCACCAAGTACTTGTTGGTGCTCCTGTTGGCAATATAGCTAGTGCAAAAGTAGATTCCTTATTGTAACCAAAAATAACTTTTTCTCATAAAATTTGGAGCAGGCCAATATCTGGTGTGATCATTAGACTGTTCTATCACAATTCTTAAGATATCTAGTTTAGAAATCGGGCGTTTGTGAACAAAAGGTATATTTTTCATGCATAGTTTGTTTCACAGATCTTTGACTGAGAAATTAACCTTATGATAATACTGATACTGGAGGTTGAAGTTGCACATCTAGCTTGATAATGTAAAGCCATTTTCTCCTCTGTTATCTTAAACAGATATGCGCAGGGGGCCAGAAATGTTTTCTGAATCCCTTACAACAGTCTGTTTGAAATAAAAACTTTCACATGTCGATGTTAAAAGAATCGTGGCAACTTACCTCATATAGACCGGCCCATATTTACCAGTGATTTCCACACAGACAGCTTTTTGATTAACTCTAATTTCCAACAGAAATATCTCAGAGACAGTTATGTGTATAAAGAAAGCTGATAAAGTCTCTTAGATTTTCCAAGGTAATGACTTCGACCGTCTTCAACTTAATCATAATGGGTTGGTTGATGACCAGCGAAAAATTTCCTACGTTGAAATATCGAAGGGTATGTTGGAAGGTAAAATTGCAAAACAAGTTTAGATACTCTCAGCATCCGAAAGAAAATGTCTTGCGCAGACATGAAGAGTTATACTGATCACCTGTAGTATATATCTGTCGAAGTTGTGTGTGCATGTATAAATATATATACACTGCAAGAAAATGGAGGAATCTGGTTTCAGTTTTTTTTACAGAGAGAATAAACAGACTCATCATAAATGTGTTTGTACCATCACTGTAACATTAACCAAATCATTGAGTATGTATACAAACCTACAAACCAAAGAGACAGACTTGTGAGATTTTTTCCCATTTTTTTTTAAAGGAAAAATGAATTTAATGACATTTGATATTGAAGAATAAAAGAAACATATAAACACCTGTAAACCTGACAAATGTTTTAGCCACAAATGTATTTGTTGTACTTCAAAAAACGATTTTCAATTTACCTGAGAATCAATTTGATAAAACATGTTGATCCAAAGACTCGTTATTGATGTGTCTATCCTGTGCAAGATGGTAGTAAACTAGTGATATTAAGGGAGCCCAGTTAGGTGACCCAGGAATACCTAATCCTTTATTTAAACATTGGTCTTTAAAGAACAGGTTTAAAGATTTTACTTTGTAAACAGAACAAAAGTTTGAACACTCATTTTTTTTTTTTGAGTAAAATTTCCGTTAGACACTTAAAACTGAAATGTGTTCCCTGACACTGAGTAGTGAAATCAATCCGATCCTCATTCTTGAAGAGTGTGCCATACAGCCGACACCGCTACCTTACTACACAAAAGCTTCCAGTAAACATTTTTGTTTTGATTAAAGTGACAAGCAAATTATTGTAGTTATTTATTTTTACTTTTTATTGTAAACAAATGTCTGAAAATTTAAAACACCATGATGAATAGCTGCAAAATATGTTTAAAAAATGTTTTGAGTTCAGGAGGTTCACATGTTAATGGGATGATGCTATTTAAAGCAACATGGTCAAAACAGATCTATTACTTTACAATTAAGTTACTGGAACTTTAAAGGGTTGGCCTACCTGATGATGTTTACTGTTTCATATCTATAAATAGCCCACAGAAATTGTCACCGTTCATTTTTTGAAGACAAGTTGGATCTGTTTATGGACATAGTACGTGTGTAGGAGTATATCTGGTTATTGATGTTTGCATGTTTTAGACGATAGAAGTGTTTCTAAAATAGTTGTAAGGAGTGAAGTATAAAAGAATGCTTATTCTGGTCCATGTCTTTAAATTGAAGAAACCACACTCTAAGAGTAAAATATATTGGTAGTGTTAGTGTTATTTATGCAAACATTGAAAACAACCACAAACATTAGAAATGATACTCTTATATACATGTTAATACCATAAACTATACTTAAACATTGTGTAACAGTTTTATAATTCAATATTATATCTCTAAAACATAATCATTATCAATTTCATAAAATAAATTGACAGTTTTAAATATAGATCTATATCATAGTGTGTGATATTCTGTTGTATCATTTGTTCATTAAGTACAGACTTATACACCAAGTAGAGTATATATATATGATAATACAAACAGCCTTATCATCACAATACCTCAAACTGCTTTACGTGTATAAAATGTTAGTTTATTAAGTCATCATTTGTTTAAGATTGAACAGTTTAACAATGCCCTTTGACCTTTCGTAAGCAACATGTGAAAATATTGGTCCATATATGGTCAATGAAGCATAAAATGATTTATTCAGATGCAGCAATAAATGTAACATAGATGATCATTTCAAGTGCTACATGAAAATAAATGAGAAAAAATAGCATCATGATTGATTAAATACTTAATGAAACTTAAATACATTTTTATCTCGTACTCATAGACTTCAAGGACCCTGTTTGATTTTAAGTTTTTTGTTTGTCTCGTCCATATTTTTCTTCAAACATCTGATCTCACTTAAATCGAATACTAGAATAACTCGGAAGTTTTCCAACAGTCCAGTCAACTTTGAAATAACGAAATTTGACTGAACAATGTCTGTTACATCTTGGTCTGATCACACAGTGAGATGTCGGAATACAATGGGCTAGACCTGGATGTATAGGAACCAACAATATTCAATTCATTTGGGTGTATTGCCAATAGAATAGACATATGTAGCAAATCCAATAGGAAAGTTAAATTGTAAATAAGACAGGAAATCTTTAAAGGAATTGCAAAAGTCGAACAAGAAATTCCTGTGCATCCACTGAGTATTGACTTTCTCAGTGCAAATCGGAGACCAGAAGTAATTCTTAAGATTCTTTACGATATGCTGGTTTAGTCTGTCGCAGACATAAGACTACTTTCCACTTAGGAAGCATTGGTTTAAAACAAAAAGGGAAAAAAAATGGACATAATGCTTTTGGTGAATTCTTGTTTCTGAATATGGGCACTTTGTGATGCATTTAAAAATTTGCCAACAAAAATTTGAATTAGTTAAATAATTTTTTTTTTTGTGTCGTTCCATTCCATCTTAAAGAAAAAACTTTATTCCTGATCAAATTCCTTCTTTAAAGATGATGGAGATGTTTTCCCCAGTTTTATGTTAGCTTCACATGTTACTTTGAGAAAAAGATATAAAAAATATGAAAGGTTACTGATATGATATGTCAATAATGATAACTATTACAACAGTCTGTTTCACAAGATGGTGGAATTGGAGGTGAAGGATAAAGCATAATATGATGGTGTGTAATGGCCACTGAATAGAGTTTCAATTCTAAATGTTTACCAAAATGTTTACCTATGTTTTGCTGTAACTGTTGTAGATATTTGATGTGCTCTGATATAAATCTAGTTTTGAAAAACTGCTATTACAATGGAAACATCTATCTTTTGACAGAGGAAAGAGAGGGCTGAACAGATTGCGTACAAGCTAGAACAAGACCTGGCTTTGTGTAAGTATACAGACAGTATATGGCAGTGCTGACCAATAACTCTCTCCTCAGGAATCACATTCACAATTTTGTCAAGACAGTCCAGACGTCTAATGGGACATGCCAAAGTTGGCCTGACAGATGACTACCACTTCTGATTCCTACAGATCAAAGAACCACAAAATTCGACCAAAGCATTTACAGGCAAGATGTAACCAGACTATATTGAGCATCTCCATCTCTCTGCCACTTCTGACCGCAACCATTATACCAATCTATCTGTGTAAATTAACATTGATATAGCAATATAAAAGCTGGATATATTCTTCTGTTCCAGTTTAAATGCTGTTGTCTACTACAATCACGATACATTGTCATGTAGTAAATCTTATCAGTTTTGGTCAGTGATATTGAAATCTTGTCAATAAAACAAAAAAACACACATTTTTATATAATGATAGATTCAAACAAAGCAACAGATATGTTAAGTTATTGATTTACAAGACAATCAAAATATAGCCTTTGAAAATATCCGAAGTAAAATTTGAATTTATTTTCTTAACCTCTTTAAGTTGGATTTAAAAGATCTCTCATTGTCAGACAGAATTAAGTTTGTTGTTCACATCTCAATAACAGGGGCTGTTCTTCAATAAAGCCATCTGTGACACTGCATTTCAGTGGGGAAAAAAACTGCAATTCTCAGTAAATGTGCTGAGGGCAGGGCAGCTTCGTAAATATACAAAGGGAAGCCAAGCTTAGTAAATGTATAGAGGGCAAGCAAAGCTCAGTAACTGTATTGAGGGAAGGTCAACTTGGTATATGTATAGAGGGAAGGCCAGCTCAGTATACAGGGCTCTCGATCTACCAAATTTGGGGCCGATATTCAACCCCATTCCCAATGCAAAATAAATAGTATCTTTTTTTCCCAATTTAGACCCCAAGTTTTCCCAATTCTGAGGAAAACACCATTATTTTTCTAAATTCTAAGGGCCCCGGGCCCCGGGCCCCAGTCCCAAAATGGGGTGTGAGAGCCATAGTATATATATACTGACGAAAGGCCAGCTTGATAAGGTGCTTTGTACAGAGATCACACTATTCTGATTATGTATTAAGGATTGGGTTGGGCACAGTCTAATTCTACAATTGTCTTCTATATGAAGACCCCAAATGGTGGTTATCTGTTCATCAAGAGTTTGGGTAATTACATGATGATCTGTTATAGAAGTAAGACATCATCAATACATTTGCTTCCCTCAGACTGTGTCATCGCCCTCTGACCTTTAAGTAGTGATGTCTTGGTAGCCATTGTTATGGGTTGAATTGCGACTTGGCTTTCAAAAATCCTGCTGCATGGAATGGAGAGAATTAGATGAAGATATATCGACAAAAGTCAAGTCTGTTAGATTATGGGGAGAGTTAAAGAAAGATATTGACAGGAGTCAAGTCTGGAAGATTGCATAGTTGAGTATTTGTAGGTAATTGTCTTGCAATGCGTTGCAGTCTGTCTCCTACTGAATTGTTAGTGGTGTGTGTATGTATGTGCTGTCTGTCTTTGTTGCATTGTTCTGAAGAAGAAATAGAACTTGTACAGTAGTAGCTGAATCATTTAATAGAAACATTTCCACAAAAAACTCATAGTCTCCCCAGGTCATGCTAGAAAACGAAAGCTCCGAAATCTGCCGTCTGCAGCAACTTTTGTCTGGGTGTAGAAGGAATTCATTGATTTTTCACCTCTCTGGGAACATAAATTCTTCTTTGTTGACAAATAGGAAATATTCTTTATAGCTACAATGCTATCTGTTGCGCCTTGTCGACATGGAGAAAACAATGGAGAAAGGAAACAGATTGTCTCTCTCCGCAGAAACAGGTTGACCTCAATTTGTCTGATTTTCTAGTTGACATTTTACAAGTAAAACTAAAATAAGAGACCAGCTATTATAAAAGGTGAAATGATCTGTAAAAACATGATAGTGTATACATTTCATTTACTACTGAACAACCATAAGTAATTCGGGTAATGAAAGGTAAAGAGTGGCACACATTTTGACAAACTTCGCTTATTATTCATTGCAAAAAAGTCCATATTAGTGTCTATCACATGTCCAACATTAATATAAACTTTCCAGTTGAAATAAGGATTCTGGAAATCAAGTGACTATCCCTCCTGGATTATATAGCAACACTCTTTAACCCTTTAGCACTTGTCCCATAAATCTAATAACACCTGTCCTTGATACCGTTCAATATATCCAATACAACTTATACCATCTGTCCCTATATTTTACCATAATCGATTGATTTAAAACATTTTACCTATACCTTATACAAACAAACACACCAATCCCAATACCTTACCTTAAATCCAAAAATACCTTAAATTAGGTCAAAATTTCAAATAAAATCTAAATATTTCAATATTTATTTTAAATGTCCATATTTCACAATATCCTTCACATTTAAACTGAATAAAATTTTAAAACTGAACTCATTACATATGTTTGACAATATTTTTATTTAGATATCAGTTAATTTCATTACTGGCCCCCATGGCTTGTACAGGCCTTCTTAGAAAAAACAAGAATGACTTTAGGTCTGAATTTACCACAAATATCAGGCAATCTTCAGATCAGGCATGTATTATAGAGAAATTTTTTCAATAATACAAAATCAACAATGAGAGTTGCCATTAAACTTTGAGGATCGAATATTGTAATTAATACTTTTATCCCTAATCCAATAAACTATTAACTTGTTCAATTTTTTGGGAAAATGTGAGCTTACATTATTACACGAAGGATTATTCTGAAACAAGACATGAGTCAATGCTGTTGTGATGGCCTACCTACCGAGGTTGATAGGCCTACCTGTACAAGTGTAGAATACATTGCAGCAATACCAAAATGATTAATACAGATACAGATCAGTTTCAACTTTTTAAAACAAATTTGATTGATAATGAGGTGATATGAAAATGATAGTCAGTGAGACGGTGAGGTGCGCTGACACTGATTACAGGTGTGACAAGATAGGTATACTACCTCTGGCTCGGGTTCGACCTGAACGTTTGTTAATCCCTTCATGGCGGCGGCAGAGAAAAGGTCTCTAGCGACCCACTCTGGAGAAACTATCGCGTGATACACACACGCTTTTCACATCGGAGGAGTTGAAGGAGCACACTTTTTGATTACGTTGCACTAATAGAATATTCAGCTCAATATATTTTGATCCAGCTTTATATTTTTTTAACTACCATCTAACCAATGCTACATAATACAGATCATACAGAAACCCAACTACAGAGTCAAATATCAATTGCTTTACCTTACCCGATTTTCCCAATAAGATGTGTGTCTCTTTTTACAAGGAAGCAATGATCTAGCCTTTCCTTGCTTATCGATCGGAGAATAGGAGATAGGTCTTAATTTCTTTCTTTTGTTTTTTTACGATAGTTCTTTTTTACGTGCAGTAAGCATTTTTATCGGAGATCAATTGGTCAGGAGGCCTAACCCTCCTGATTTCCTTGTAATAGATATGTATGTATGATATGTTGTTTTGGCTAGCGAATTAAAACTTTGTTTAATAAACACCAAGACATGGAGAAATGATAAATCAATACTTGTTTCTGACTACCGATAATGGCCTTGATTAGGTCACTGAAGTTCGGAGAAGTAATTAATTTATATCTAAATAATAGAACATTTGGATCCTAGCAATGCGGAATACTTCTTGGCCTTAAGTATGGAGTCCATAGCTAGGGAATTATATTCATCTGTCATGTTTGTATGGAAGATTGGTGATTGGGATAGAAGACTGAGTCGGTCAAGCTTGATTTAAAGACCAGTTAGACTGTATATTATAATGTATGTCTTCATGTATCATGATACTTTATTTATTAATGCAGTTGTTGTTGTTACCTGGGTTTTTTTTAGTGTCCTTTGTGTTAAATTTAGATACACTTGAAATTTAAGGGGCTGTATTTAAATCAAATCTTATTTATATAAAGTTACATTTCAAATTAGAAATGAAATTTTTAATTTAACACATGTATCATATAATCAAATTTAAATTGTGAAACAAATATATACATATATATGTCAGAGAGAGATAGTGTCATTATGAAAGAGGGCCTATAGTCTTGATAAAAAGAACTAGTTTGTGACTGAGAGCCTCCCAGGATTTGGTTGATTACATATAGGTTTTGGAATCTTCATAGCTCTTCTGGTCACTCGACATTGTCTCACTAATGAACATCAATGTTCTTAGAACGTTAACTTATTTGTGAGGGATCTAGAGAGCCTATTTGGTTCGTTGGTTTCAGGTTTGGAGAATTTTAGATCTTATCGCAAGGTATAGTCTTAATATCCACATTTTGTGAGAGAGGGCAGTGCAGTCCAATATAGTATGTAGTGAAAAACTACAGGCTGGTAGAGAACTTTATGTTAACAGAGGACATCTGGTTGGTAGAGGACTTGAGGTTAACAGACCACATCAGAATGTCATGTTAATACAGGGCATGAGGTTCATAGAGGATATGTCATGTACAAGCTTGTTAACAGGCAAGAATCATTTTGCTGAAAACAATTTGTTTCAATGTTTCAGTTCAACCAGAAAATGTTCTAATGATGGGAATCATTCACTCAAATGTTCTGGTACATGATGAATAGTTTTGTTTGTCCCCATGGCAATTAATGAGGCTTATGAACTATGTCCTCTTATTACTTGCACAGGCTAGTTCATTTTCTAATTTAGGTGACGTTGCCTCAGCCACCGTCATTAATTTGCTACATGTTTGGTTAGATTTGAAGCCATATTTGATTGTTCCCAATCAAACCTTATGTGTATGTACATCAGTTTCCATTATCAAGTACCATTTGTACGTGTTTGTTTCAGCTATTAGTACTTGCGTCATCTGGTTGTCTTGACGGCTAATCATGTCGGACAAACTTGAGTGAACTGTCACGGTATCTTTTGTTATATACCCAGTTTAAATTTTTATTGAGAAAATGTTCAAATTGCAATTATAAATAAGTAAATTAATGCAAAAATTTAAATAATTATAAACCAGATGAAATTGCTAAATGTTTTTGAACTATAAATAGATGGACATGTCTAATATATATATAACGGGTATATATATATATATTTTTTTTTATTTTTCACAATCTTGGATTCATATTAACCATTAAAGGCATAATATCATATATTTTCCAATGAGATTTGTGACACGATGTTCAAATGAGTGGGAAAGGGCAAGCATTGACAATGCAATTACTTCAGAGTATGACCTTGATGTACTTGTTGGCTCACTTGTGTTTCTTGATTACATGTAGAAACATACAGCAATATGACACACTAGAGGAGTTCAAAATTAATGTAGACATGATTGAAATTTGTAGAGATGTACAGGATGAATAAGGCTAGAGGCATTCAGAATGAACATTGGAAAGTAAAGTACTATGGGTGAGCTATGTAAGAGAGTTTGTAAGTACTGTAGCCATGTGTTAGTACAGGGTTCCATCAGCCTATTTACTGTAATCTGCTCCACGTGTTGGCCCCATCACTATACAGGCTCCTCATACCTAGCATTGCTTAGTATTTGTTTTTGGCCCGGTATGTTGTCAAAAAGCGCAATCCCAGTCTTTTTACCTTATGATCATGTTATACTTACCTTTTCTTCTCTCAAAAATGGAATAAAGAATCACAAGGCAGCTTCAAGGTATATGTATATAACAGGTCCCCAGCCCCGGATTCTAACCCTCCAGAAAAAATAAGTCTAACTATTATAGAAAATCCTTTGATTTAAAACTTCATTAAACTAATTAACACTAGTAAAATGCAGAATGTGAAACGGATGTTGGTGGGGTAAGATTTAATTTAAACATGATGCTTTGTAGTTGTTTATAAAATAATCGTTAAAGAAGAGGACTTTTGTTTTCTGTTTTAGAAAATTTTAAATTGTGAAACCTGAAAAACCTGATCATTGTTGTTTTTCCTTTTAGTTTGTAGCCTGTGTATTTTCTGAAGTCATTTATTATACCTTTAAATTCATTAAAACGATTATCAAGTACATGACAATTAGCTATAGGTCTTTGCTAGTTGTCCAGTTTAACCATTGTGGTTCATGGAAAAAGGGCCTGTAGGTAAACAAAAGTCTGTTCCAGGTGGTAGTTCCCAGGTCTCTTAGGGCTGCCCATCCATAGGAGTTTGCTAATGGATACTTTCAGGCTGACGTCAGGCGTCACCATGGAAACACTTAAACACTGGGCAATACATAGAAATATTACATGCTTGTATATCTTTATGTTTGTCCCTGTGTGTGTATATCATCCCCTTTGGTCTGTGTCTACTGCCTGGCAAGGCGGGCACAGTTTGACAAACAGCACTAGGTAGCTGAGCATTGATTCAATATAAGCTTTGGTGCAGCTCATATTTTGTATATATATTGATTGGTAGGAAGAAATCTGCATAAAAAATATGCATATGAAACAAAATGAGATTTAACCTGATATTTGAATCTCTCTTTTGATCTTGACATTGTCTTTGAAAGAGAAAGTTCAGAACTGTTCTAGTATATCAAACGTTTGATAAACACTTTCTCAGTAAATCAACAACATTTTGGTGAAACCAAACTGTTTAGAAACAGAATGAATCTTCAGTAGTGACATCAGTGTATAAATGGAAGAAACTTTAAATTTAGAGTTACCCGGTGTCCACCTTTGACGAACTGATATAGAAATCCAGAAATCTCTTATTTCTGTCTTAAGCAAGTGTTTTGTAACTTTGAAGACTAACAAGAGTCAACAACCACAAGTTTGTGTGACCTCTTATGTTTATCTCCATGGAAACAACCTACTAAAATACAATAGATGCTGAATTTACAACAGACTGTATTGTACAAAGTAACTTGACAATATACTTTATTGATCAACTGTTTACAAGCTGAGCAATAAGAGGATTTCTGTGATATTGTGACTGTTAGGAGATATCACGTGATGTTTATCTAATCCTACCACATGGACTTTGTAAACCAAATGTCATGCATATTTGTACTACATCTTGTGTGTATATGTGGTGTTTGCGACAGCTTGAAGATCAAAATTTTCATGAGTTGGACTTTAGATATGTTGTATACATCACACAACCTTTATTTTTCTGATTGAGAGATGGGAATTATGATCCTTAGATTTTAACTTGTATCATTTTTCTAAATTTTACTTTATTCATAACTTTTCAGTAATTAGGGTAATTACTTCACATATCTGTGTAAGTACATGTACACGTACATGCAAAAAACACTTCTTTCATCACCTTGCCTACAACTTTATATAAAAAGACTATTTCGAAATAAAATTTCAGTTGTGCAGTTTTTAAATTGCTGCGTCTAATATCCTAGTCAAACCTCTTCACTTAACTACATAATTGTTACATCCTTGTCACTGTGCCAGTTCCAAGAAAGGATGTCACTTTCAAACTTGCCTGCCAGTAAACAATGAATGGCCAATCTACAGTTTCTACTGTATATAAATCTAAATGTTAATGTTCCCATTTGTCCCCCATGGTGTTGTCCACATTCTAGCCAAATTCCAGCAGATTTGTCGACATCCTATTACTTGTAATGGCTGCCTCCCCCAACTTTAGCCTACCAATACACCATCACAGACTTGCTCCACCTCAACAGGACACTCCACCTTTCCTTTACCTCTTCTTGAGCATATGGTAACGCTCTAAGGAGCACTTTGTCTAATAAATCTACTCCCAGCTATCTGTATTATACAATACTTCATCTGTTTGTATTTGTTACTTAACGCTATTGTCGTTTTATATCATTGATAAAATTTTTGCAAACCCATCATTCCACGATTTATTTTACTTGTTTGAATTAAGGTTCAATTAACATATTTGAGTTTTCTTGTTGTTTTGCAATCACTTTAAAGGCAGGATGAGACAATATCACTGAATATAACAACAATTTTTGAAACCCTGGTTTTTTCACATATTTATCCTTTGTGGATCTGTGTGTAGTAAATGCCAGGGAGAGGAAAATGTGACTAAAGTTCAGCCTACTTTGTTTCTTAAGTTGTCTGATCCAGAATCACATAACAGCTGGAATCTTCTATCACAATGACTGACATTCAATTCAATATCAGGTCAATGTTTCTCAAGCCCAGACTGCTGTTGTCTGCATTTTTTTTTTAAACTTTTTACCATTAATTAAACTGATAAGAATTCAAATTACCACTAAAGATGCTTTATCACCGATTATGAAAGAGAAAAAAAATATTGTAAACTTTCAAAAAAAAAATTTTTAAAAAAATGGAATCTGTACTGTTATCATATGAAAAGTATGAAATTTTTGAAAAAATGGTGATGAAGAATAAATCAGTTGACATGTTAAATCCTTATTTTAAATAAAAACAATAGTAAAATTTTCAAGGTGAATTTAGGTATCAAAGCTTTTTCAGGCAAATGAAAATATAAATGGTTCTACAATAAATACAAAGAGTAATGAGAAGAAGCTGTTGTAAAGTGTCCCTGGTCTTTTCACATACTTTTCCTTTATGGAACTGTGTGCAGTAAATGCCAGGAATATAAAAAAACTGTGACAGAATACAGACAGCCTTGATCTATATTGGCGTTCTAATTCAGAGTCACAGAACAGACAAAAAAGTATTTTTGAAATTGCTAGAAATGAAATCACTAATGGAATTGACAAACTTTTTAAAAATGACAAACGGTAATGGCAATTTTCATTTATTTATAATTGATGATTGATAGATTTAAAAAACGAATGAAACGATGCAATAAATGGATTTGTTACACAGCTCCCACTGCAAGATTGTATGTTAAACGGTAATTTGTACTTGACATATAGATACACAAGATTGCAGTCAGGATACGTTAGTGAATATGAATTGTTCCATTTCTATCATTGACTCGGATTTGGAATGAATATTATGGAGATAAAGTAATTGCTATTTATATATAAGGACTGAAACTAGATCAAACATTGAATTGAATAGCAGATATAGAGCTTCATAGATCTAGACCAGCCTATTCTGAGCAACGCAGCTTTCTGATAGTGATCATAGTTAGAATGTCTCTGACGACTGTTGTTACAATCCTATCAGGAACGTTAGGGAAATGGATATTTGGTTGTGAAGCATAGAACAAAGACATTTGATAAGACCTGGGTCTTCATAGAACTGATACAAGGTCTAAAGGCTGGCCATTTTCATTTCCTATATAGTGGACATGGTGTCTATTTGTATTCAAATTAATTATATCTTCATCTTGAATAATGCACCATATTGCTACTGAGAACTTGCTGTAGGCTGTTCTCCCTTAGGAATAATGTTATGGAAGTATACTTCTAGTTTAAACTGTAAGAGCCACACTTGTGTATGAGTTCTGGAGGTGGGAAGCAAAATATTCTGACCTGAAATATCTACCCTCTACCCCCCCCTTGCCCCTTTGTCATTTGAGGTATAGATAAACATTAAAATCTCTTTCTCGCAGAAGGTTCATCATAATTTCATATAAAATAAAAGCTTCACTGTTTATGAACATGTAAGACAATGGTAACCTTTACCAGTTCCAACAGAGAACAACAAGGGAGCCGGGGTCAGTAGTTCATCAGAATACAACATATTTACCTATATCCGTTTTAATCAGGGTTATTCTTGCTTGTGAATTTATACACAAACTGTCAACTGACTAATATGTCTGACATTTAGATGAAGGAACGACCAAAATGCTGACTTAGAGACACAGACAAAGAGTTTTAATAGATATTCAGTTGAAACAGCTGTTAAATTTCATTACAACTTAGTTGTAATTCAAAATCATTGAAATTGAAATGTTATCAAAAGTAAATCTGATGGAATGCTTTTGTTATATAGATAAAACTTTTTTGGAAGAAAGTAAGATTGAAAGGTAGTGTTGTCATTGATGACATAATGTTTGTGAGGATTATTTCTAACCATACTAACGATTGTTTTTATTTTATAGGGGATCCAAACAACAACCCAGTATGCACAAACGACCCATACAAGACCCTGTTTGTTGCTAGAATTGTAAGTTGAATTTTAAAAAAATATCAAATGTACTCAATATAGTATTTGATTTGGAGGGAAAATGCTCAGCCTTTTATCATCAAAATCAGTTCCCTATGAGTTCTGGAGGAAACTTCGTTGTTTACGAAATTCTATTTTTCTCTCTTGGCAACACTTGGCCTTCTGAAAGGAATTTGAAATGCAATCAAATCTTCTGATTCATATTATCATTACATGAATACTTTTCATGGTAGAAATCAAAATTTGAATGTCCTTACAGATGTTTGGGTGCTGAGATTTTTTTCCCTGCAAGATGGCATATTCCTTATTTGGTATCTTGTCTTTACAAAGGTTGTCTCTAAACATTCAGAGTCTATTCTTGTATTCAAAAGCTAGGACATGTTATAAAAGATGTTCTAAACCTCTTGTATGACTTCCCTGAAGCAAGTTTCAAGGTGTAAGAGTATTCTGAAACGTACAAATCTTTAGAGAATGTCATACAGCTTTTCTGGTATAAGGGGAGACAACCTTTGTACATCTAGCTTGAAACAGGTAAGTTTTACCTAAGTTCACCTATAGATATATTGCAATATACTGGTTGGCCAATTTAGGAATTCCACAGCCTTAGTTACAAATTTATATTGATTTTTATCACTGGTAATTGAAGTAAATCCATCTTTCTACTCAATCAAATAGTTGTTCCCTATATTGTAAACTAAGCAGTTAGTATTTTGCAATATACTCTTTTCTTTCATTTTTTAAATATGAATGTAATATTTTCACATTAATTGTATAAGCATGAAGTAATACTCTTGGAAATAAAATTTTGATGAAACTTTCAGAAAACGATTTGTACTGTCATTGCAAACTCTTAGAAACATTGTTTTAATTTTTTTCTGCATGCATGAAATAGACTTTTAAGATACTTTGAATAAAAGTCTTAATTAAATCAAATTCCATGCTGTCAACTGATTCCTAAATTCCTGTATTTTCCTATAATTTGGTTCAAAAACATATATTTTGAGTGACCTATATTTTTTCTATTTTTTGAAATTATTCCTATATTTTTCAGGAAATTTGTCGCCAATAAATGTAAAGGTTGCAAATATTTCTTTGATACTGCTTTTGGCTTCTTTATTTTACATGTTAGAAAAATCTGAAGTCTTTAACAACATCACCAGCCACCAGAAAATGATTCAGTGCATCTCTTTATCACCTGTATGGGCATCTTTCAAGACAGTACAACAGGATATTGGCCTTTTAGGTGCCCATTCAGATGATGATGGTGATGATGATGAGCTATTCAGCAGCTCTCTGCCTGGATTGTGATGCTGTTGAAGTGAATGGTTACTTTAAGGTAGTTTTTAATCATTGATTAATATAGAAACAGTAAGTGAAGGTAGGAATTGTTAGTATAAATGCCTTTGAATAAAACGATTTTCGTTCGGAAAACTCCAATATTCTGCCTCAAAACTAGCAAAGAACTATATTTGTCGGAAAAATTATTCCCATATTCCCCCTATATTTTGAAGAAGACTTCGGTGACAGCCGTAAATTCACCATATTATTTTTCTTCTATTTAAAAAACATGAATGTTAAAACTGGAAGGACTGCATAGTTATCACACAAATTTTAGTAAGCAAAAAAAAAAAAACAAAAAAGAAAAATTCTAGAATACAGATTTTCAAATTTAAAATTATTGTCTTCCTTCTACTTCTGACTGGAAAGTGGTCCCTGTTCAATGGGACATACCATAAAAAAACATTTCATATGCTTTTAAATTGCTCCTTTGGGATAGAATCTTGTGTGTTCTCTATTTCAGTAGGTTGGTGGCTACAGAATTTGTCTTAATAGATTTCAGCTTGGAAAGGTCATATGAAACTAATAGCCCTGTAAAGGCTACAAGACTAGGTGTCAAGGGGAACATTTAAGGAAATTTATGTGTAGTTGGAAGAAGGGTGTGAATATATGTGGCTCCTCCTAGGAAGCCTTCACATTAACAATGTACTGTACATGTCTACACATTGTCAGCGTTAGAGATATTGGTCATGGGTGTTGCACAACTAACATTTCAATGTTTTGTTAACTCTTATATCCAAAGAAGACTAAAGCCAGGGTTTCAAACAAAGAATAACTATGTGATTGACAATATCTTGACAATTTTCTTGGCAAAATGTGTATGGGAAGGGAAACAACTCTTGTAATTCTGTTCAATTGGAAGCACCTTTGAAGATTGTAAGAGATAACAAGCGTAACTGTACAATGATTTTCTGTAAAACCATGGACATTTTCTGTAAAACCATGGACATTTTCTGGATTTAATGACAGATCAATACAATTGTTACACGATCTCCAGGTTGATGAGCCAAACTGATGACATTATCACATCAAATATTTCACTTAATATCACATCAAACATTCACTGAAAATGTTATCACATTTAGTATCATCCCTTGTTCCAAATATGTGCACAGGGGACTTTTGTTGATTTTTCTTGCATTGACAAACTAGCTTATAATTTTTTTAGGGTTGGAAGAAGGGATTTAGTGGGGGAAGGAGTGGGGGGTTGAAATTTCACAGAACTCCAATCCACTTATGTCTGAAGATTACATTTATGGTATCTGTACACAACCTCGTATGAGCAGAGGAGTGCTATTTTTCCCAGTCATACTCAGTCTTGTCCAGCTCTGGTAGACAATGTGACCTGGTAAGAGATATCAGTTTAATAAACTGTGTTAAGTGATTTTGTGATCATTGTACTTTATCAGTTTTCATTGTGGCTAAACTGCTCAACATAATTTAGAACTTCGGAGCAAATAAAGTATCCTAATTTAGCATTCTTTGACCAATTCAGAATTCCCAGACTTGTATTCTCATTCCTGCATTCCCACAGGGTATGATGTTTATTCATATTGATATTTGTAGATGTTACTTTTTTTTTACCAAACTATAGCGAGAAAAAATCTATTTCATATGGATTTATAAGGTGTATTGAAAAAAGTGGTTCATTTTTCTGTTCTGCATTAACCTGAAACATATCTTGGAATCGTAGGCTTCTGTTGTCAGTATAGATAGAATCTGTAAACAGGGATGACTGGGATATGTGACAGAGGTGGTAACACAGTGTTAGCTAACATACAAGCCTGTATTGATCCTGGTCCACACATATACTGCTGTATTTTTATTATAACTAGCTTCATTCTGCATTATTTTCTGTGGTATCAAAAATATCTCATTCTTCTTTTTTGTCTATTTTCAAATAAAACATGTTTTTTGTTGATAGGAAATGATAAGCTAACATAAAATGCATGTTTTTGATAAATACTTTATACATAGTTGAAGAATATAATGTTTAGCAGAGATGACAATGCTTGGCATTGTTTAGAGATGACAGAACCACCTACTGACAGGAGGCTGGTTATAGCTGACATTTTAAGCTCTCTCAGTCCGTTATATATTAATCCTTGATAAAGAGGATATGAGGATATGTCAGTCTAGGACCCATTGTATGTAAGCTCAGATAATTCAATACATCCCTAATACATAGGGTAATTGATAAGATAGTTTACAGCTTCAGTCTCATCACAACTTATAATGGATTCCAAATTCTCCTATCTCCATTAGGGTACATTTATTTGTGGTATTTAACTGAATATGGTAAGTCAGTTGAATACATAAAGGATTTGAAATCATTGTATTAAATAGGATTGTTTAAATTTTTTATGCTAACCCCAAGGTGCCTCCCTAAACTCCAACATGAACCAATCAATTATACAGTTTCCAAACTTACAAGCTAACCCCAAGGTGTCTACCCATCTACCAACTAATTCTACAGTCTCCCAACCTCCCAATTTTGGTGGGATGTCCAAGGGGCTTTAGGCAGTTTGCGTCCACACTATTACAAGGAAGTTTACACCAACATATCACAACCTTCAAGAAACAAATGTGCTGAACAGGTACACTCACCTTATATACACTGTCATTTTATGACCATAGCTGTCCTTAAATGATCATAGGTTGTCCCAATGACCAAAGCTATCCTTTAATGACCTTAGGTTGTCCTAATAGAGCTGACTTAGGGTTTAAAGTAGAGCTGACTTTGGGTCTAAAATAGAGCTGACTTTAGGTCTGAAATTCAGTTGATCTAAAGATATGACCATCACAACCACCAATTCAAAACAATCAGCTCCAAAACATAATGCTGATATTTTAAATTCATCTCTAAAATTTCTATTTATATTGCAGTTGCAGAAATTTACAATTCTCTGTCAGTTTCAGATAATAACTAAATTGTATTGTTTACTGAAATGCAAGATGGAGATACATGTTAATGACTTGATGAAATTTCTCTGGTATTGTTTAATTTAAGGGACTCTATATCTGGTGTCCCCGGAGAGTGCACCATCAAGCATTCAGCAGACAATAGCAATATTACAGGGATCATGTTGTTGTTGTTGATGTGATTACATCAATTGGTTATTCAAATGTTGATGCTGTGATGGAGCACATCAGCGTAACCATCTCTGATATTGATTTGTCTCGCTTGACTGGTGGTGTGTCGCTTCCTACCTAGTCACTAGAGATGGATGTCATGAATAAGCAACAAAGTTGGTCGTTTGTTAACCATCGCTTACGCTCTTGTTGCTGTGCTTGGCTGACTAAACTGCCATAGTTATTACCATCATATTGAAATTAAGTGTCTGAGGTTGGCATGTGTTTGTATGTATACAGAATTATGTAAATTTTTCATGCAGTTTCCACTATGGTCTAGTATTATATAGGTCATCATTCAATTTGGACCGTTAACAGCGTTAGCTATGTGGAATCCTTTTAGCACAGTCAAAATGAAATGCACTAGCCATTTTTATATAAAAGTTTTAACACACATAATCTGATGGCTGGTCCAATCAGGACAAGATATTGTCTGTATGGTCATCTCCTGCATACTCCAAAATGTTTGCTGAAAGGAAAGTGTTTGTTTAAAGATATACAAATCAATATTGATTGTTTGAGTTCTGAAA